GCTTTCCTGCCTAAGCACCCTGCTAGCTGTGTCTCATTCTGCAGAAATGAATATGGGGATTATCCTAGTAAATCTTAACATTTTTAAACTTTCAGAAATACCCCGTGCGTCCTGAAACCTAGCACAGGAGGAAAATGTACTAGTAATTTAATTTGCAGAAAGAAAATACATCATAATATACAAAACTCCCAAATAGCGGCATCTATTTTCATGCAGACAGATATGGTGCAGTGCCTTTAGAACACTGATATTATGAAGTTATGGGCTTCTTTAAAGGGATATATAACCAAGCCGATATCCACCTTTAAGGTAATCATGCTTTCAGTTCACCCTCAACAATAAATAATATTCTTAAACATAGTGTTTCAGAATAAACTCAAGAAAAATCCAGACTGAATTTCAAGGCTTGAGTGCTGCTGCCATCTACATGGCAGGAAGACTATAAACCAAAACAAACAACAAAAATATGTACCTTGCATTTACTGGGCAGGGCTGTAAGTCTGTTTGCCAGTGTGATTATGGAAAACAGAGTTCTGAAAGTGAACAGAATCTTTTATTACCCTGAGTTTCTGTATGAAAAATTCATGATTGAGAGTATGATTTCCCCAGGTCCTTATTATCAAGAAGTTTAGATGTTATTTACGTAAAGAATATAGTAAGGAAAATATTATTTTACTAGTGTTGAATATTTTTAATATTTCTCTGATGAGTATTAAGCTTTCAAATGCTGAAATAATAAATATATATATACAAAATCCCCCAGGTGCTGTAAAAACAGGGAGTAATGAACTTAACGAAATGACATATGCTACTTATTTCAGTGATGCTATTTTTCACAGCTATCTTACTGAGAGTATTGCCAGAAGAAGAAAACTAGCTTTTTCCCCTGTTTGCAATACACAATGTAAATTCAGTCTGCACAAGTCACTCTTCTCAAACTAAGGTTTCTAGAAATACATGACAGAAAAAGACACGTGCAATTAAATTTGTACTGTGTAAGAGTTTTATCAAATGCACAATCCACTCTAAAAAACTTTGCAGATGTTTGTGAAGTTTCGTGTTTAATGTTGTTTAGTGACTTGCAGTGCTTCACATTGACAGCTATATATGTACTTACTCACACCATATCCAGGACACTCAGATTCATCGGAAGCCAGGGAAAGTAGTCTTCACGTGATGTGCCTCTGTCCTGCAGCACAGCTCTTGGACACGCTTTAGACTTTCCAGCAGGTGTCATTCAAGAAACAAACTTCCTATGGTTCCTCATAAGACAATTCGGGGTTATTGTGTGAATTTTATGTTGCATCCAACATAAAATCACTTCTTCAAAACTAAGATAGATGAATTTTCACTTTGGGGATCTATGAATCCAAACTATAACCCGTCTCAAACCCTAGTAATAATTCTAAAAGCTTTGCCTAGCAGTTCAGACTGCATATTCTATAAGAAAGGAAAAAGAGGAAGACCATCCCTTAAAATCCTTCCACATCCTCTTCTCATGCAAGAAGAATGGCCTGCAAAATTCAGCAGCGGTATCCAGTGCAAGAAGCAGGACTTGTCATCACAGAACCGCTGTCAGGAATGTGCAGGCAATGCTCTGGTTTTGTTAAAGTGTCTCTTTTTTTTAAAGAAACTCTGAATATCCCATGTATATTTCAAGTTCCATGTCAATTATTTGCTTTCAGACCATATTTCATCGGAGTGGGGAAGAGCATTGCTCAACAAAATATAACCCAGTAACAGAAGCCATTGATTTCAATGATCAAATTTAAAACATGTAAATAGCACAAGAGATTTCAAAAAATAATGTTTAGATTTGGAACCATAAATGAACAGTTCAAAGTTTAGGAACATTTCCAGGCAGGAGTCTAGGTCGGTGACCACTTAGCAAGTACGAATCATCTGGAAAACTCAAAATCCCTGAAATCAAAGAGACATCAGTGAATTTTGGTTTGGGCTTATACTAAAGGATCAGTAACTTGCTTTTTAATTTTTTCTTAATAATATAATGAATTATGCACATAACATAAAAAATGGCTATAGGATTTGAAAAATTAAAATCTATGTTCAAGACAGACCCCTGCATATAGCACCTGAAAACTGCAATTTCATGCTGAGATAATGGTCATGTATGTGTGGGTTGTCCCACACTTCTGTGATATCTCTGCTGCCTTATTCTCCTAGCTTGCTTGTTCCTCCTCTGCTCTTTGCACTGAGGCCAGAGCTTGTCTTGGCACGGCCTGGTCATATAAACACTAGTGCAAACCTAAGTGAGGAGACATAGAAACATGTGGCTGAAGAGGGGAGAAATCACCCTGACGATGAAACCACAACTTCAGTCACACAGTTTCTTGAGCTCTGTGACTTCTGGTGGGGAGAAAGACCTTGCTCCTTAAGCAGTTTAGGCATTCACAAATTTTTTAACCCATATCTAAAAACTTAGACAACTAGTCTAAAATATTAGCATTAATATTGGCAGGATTCCTTCAGTGTAACCCAATAGAAAAACATATTCTTAATTACCTTGCAACTTTGCTGTAAAATCAATCTCCATAAGCATGAGTACAGCAGTACATCAGACTGCATTAGTATAGAGATGTTTTTTCAGTTTTGGCTTACAAGAAACAATTTCAGGAGGTTAATATATATTTTTGTATATAGCTCTAATGTTGCCACTTTGATGCAAAAAGATTGTTCTAAGCAAAAGTTCGTCTTGAGCATATACTGTAAGGCTGGTTGTTTGAAAGGCATCCAGACCACATGGGAAATATATTTGCTTTACTGGGAAATAAATGTACCTACAAAAAAAGTTGCTGCCTTACCTTATGACACTGTAATTATAATTAGCACAAAGCACGCATAAGCATGTGCCAAACACCAATCATGACTGCACAAACCATTCCAAAAGGCTGTCTGTATTGGCAGGCTGCTAATGTGCACTGCTTTGCAGAATTAAAGACAAGCAATCAAATATTGTGTTGCACAAATGTAATTGCTACTACAGCATTACTGGGTGTTACGGACAATGCCAATTCCTTGAGCTATGAGACCTCTTTGAACCCATCGGGTTTTAAAATAGCTAATAGAAATAGTTTTAAGGAAGTTTTTTATCCTGGCACTAAGAACAGAGCTGGCCTAAGCAAGCAGATGCTGAC